AGGAAAAAAAAAAAAAGAGAAAGAAATGATTTAAAAAAACAGGCGTGGTGGTGCATGGGTGTAATCCCAGCGCTCTGGGAGGCTGAGACAGGATTGCAAATTCAAGCCCAGGCTGGGCAATTTAGAGATTTAGCAAGAGTCTGTCTCAAAAAAAATTATAAAAAGGGCTGAGGGCCAAGCATGGTGGCAAAGGTCTGTAATCCTAGCACTTGGAAGGCTGAAGCAGGATCACTGCAAATTCAAGGCCTGAACTACACAGCAGACAGGAGGGGGGGGTTAGAGATACCCCAGTGCAAAGCCATGCATACAAATTCCCTAGTAAAATAAATAAAATAAATGCTTTTTCTTTTAGATCAGACCTCTTTAAATTACCTCAAAATCTTTTTCCCAAAGATGCTTACTGAATAAATACTTCCTTTTGCCCAAAAGGAAGCTCACTGACCATTTAAAAAGTACCATAAGCAGAAGGTTCTAATGTGTTTTTATTAATTAGAACTGTACAACTATAATCCTTCCATTGCACATACACCATAACAGTCAACTGTATCAACAATATCAACTATTGGTACTAAAATAACCTACTGGAAAAAAAAACTTACAAATTCTTATACTGAACACAGAATAGTTCATTTACTAACAATAAAAACCAAAAATAATTAATTTATCTTGGGAAATTTAAATTCAGGCCATTATTTCACAATTTGAAAATCCGAGTACTCCAACTTTAAGATGGCTTTCTCATTGTTGAAGTTTGCTCTTTCAATGTGTGACTTGGGACTTCCTTTTGTCTCAAGCCATTCCTGCATATGACGCACCTTGGACCTGGGTCCTTGCAATTGTCCTTGCACTGTGCCCCGGTCAGTGTTCTGGACCCAGCCTACCAATCCCAGCTTTTTTCCCTCAGCCTAAGGGGAGAAAAGAGAGAGATCCAATGAGATTATGAGACTATAATCTGTTGCCAGAATCTTGGCCTAGAATCAAGCCACTGAAACTAATTTGATATTGTCCAGAAAAGTCAAAACAGAAAGACAGCAAGGCGGATCTCACTGATCTTACCCTCAATTGCTGGCCACTTGACTCCATTTCCTTCTTTATAAGACCCAGGCACTAGAATTTTTCACTGTGTAGTCCATTTGGTTAAGTCCTAAAGACTTAAGTCCAAAACAGATGCTTTTAAAATGACCCCCCCTACGGCTAATTGTTTTTAGGATACCGAACTGTATCATTTTCCCTTAAGAATTTAATGAGTATGGTAAATGGAAAAAGCGTGAAAGTATCAGACCCTTCTCTGTCTTTAACCAGGACCACATCTAAACAAATCCAGATGAACTAGTGTCCGTTATTATCTTTAAAGATCATTAGGAGCATTTCACAATTTCTTGGGCAACTCATCCATTGTTTTTACTGTAGAGAAACTGTCCAACCCTGCATGTTTACATTGCATCCAGAGCCCACTTTCTGTCCCGCTGGAGAAGGAAGGCAGCTGTGACCAGCCTCCCCACCCCACCCCGTGCTTCCAGGAGCCTGCACAGCTATTAGGCTTCACTTGGCTTTCTTTTCCTCTGTTTAAATAACCACAGGGTCTTCAAAGTTGGACAAGCTTCAGGCCAATCAAGTGTAAGGACTCTGGTTAGTTTTTACCTTTCTCTTTTCTTTCCTTTTTTTTTTGCTTTGTTTTATTTTTTGCTTTTTTCTTTTCTGTGTTCTTTCCGTTAAGTCATTAAGCTGTGGGCAAGACTGAACTTTTAGGAAAGATAGCAATGTTTTAGAGATACTTTTATTTTTGCATAAACATGTACTTAGCATATTATAAAAGTTATTGATTGCTAAAATAATCTAGTAGAAGGGGTTGAATTATAAAAGAAAATGAGAGCTAATATGATTGCATGTCCAAATGCCAGAGTAGTGACCTAGTCTATGTGGGAAGTTACTAGAGTTTGCCAAAGAAAACGTTCCACATAGCCAAAAAAAAAAAAAAAAAAAAAGGTTTGATGAGTAACTGTAGCATCCATCACACCACTTGCAAGACATGTTCGTATAATAAACAAAAGACACTCTAGTCAAATAAATAACAGTTTAAGGGCACAGGAAATCAGGAATGAAGAAAAGTAGGTGATACCTACAGCATGGGTGGCTAAGCGCCAGGACAAAACATAAAAGCGGAATTCTGAGAATGCACTGTGAGGAAGACTCCACGTCCCACCGCCTGTGTGTAACAACCACATTCTCAGGCTTAAGTTAACTTAAGGGAGCTGGCTGTAATTTTCATTTACCATGTATGGTAAACAGCTATCAGAATGACTGTGCAGTTTTGAGCAAGAGGTTACAACAGTTAAATAAATCTTTAAATTGCAATGAAAAGTTTCACCCATATTGTGGATGGAAATTTCTCCAGATTTTATTTGTGTACATGATTCTGTTCTTGTTTTTTTAAATTGATGGCACAATGTTCCTGATTCATGTTCAATTTTTAGTATCTACCTAAATGAGTAAACAGTGGTATTTTTCAAGGAAAATTCGAAAAAGCAAATTCTATCTCTTAACTGTATTTCTGCTTAAATAGTCATCTTTTTTTTTTCCGATAACATTTTAAGGAAGATAATCACAAAACCCAGTCTACAATCTAAAAACAGTTCCAAGGGGCCGGGGATTTAGCTCAGCGGCACAGTGCCTGCCTGGCAAGTGCAAGGTCATGAGTTCGATTCCCAGTACCAGATGGATGGATGGATGGATGGACAGACGGATAGATGGATAGATAGATAGACAGATAGATAGATAGATAGATAAATAAATAAATATTAAAAAACACAGTCCCAGCCAGGTATGGTGGCAGTGCCTATAATCCCAACACTACAGAGGGTGAGGCAGGGCTGGGTACATAGCTCAGTGGCATAAGTGCCTGCCTGGCAAGCGCAAGGTCTTTAGTACAATTCCTGGTACCAAAAAAAAAAAAAAAAAAAAAAAAGCTGGGCGTGGTGGTGCACACTTGTAATCCCAGCACTCAAGAGGCTGTAACAGGAGGATCTTTTCAAGTTCGAGACCAGCCTGGGCTATAAAGTGAGCTCAAGGCCAGCCTGAAAGACCTCGTCTCAAAAAAAGGCCAAAAAAACAAAAAAACAAAAGATCAAAAAAACAAAAAAACAAAAACCTAGAGGGTGAGGCAGGAAGATCCCTGTGAGTTCAAGAGCAGCCTTAGGCTATATAGTGAGTTCAAGGCTGGCCTGAACTACACAGGGAAATAGTCTCTAAAAAAAAAAAAAAAAAAAAAAAAAAAAAAAAAAAAAAAAAGGAGCAAACAAAGTCTAAGACAAGCAGAAAGAAATAAATAATAAAGATTAAAGCAGAAGTTAATAAAGAACAGAAATTTTAAAAAAATCATTGAAACCACAAGTTAGTTTTTTGAAAAGATAAACAGGATAACCTGTAGCGAGGCTATCAAGAAAAAGTCACAGGGTTCAAATTACTAAAATCAGAAATGAGCTAAGTGTAGTGGTGCACACCTGTGATCCCCAGTACTCAGAAGGGTGAGGCAGGAGCATCACTGCAACTGCAAGTTCAAGGCCACGCTGAACTACATCACAAAAGCCTGTCTCAAAGAGACAAAAAAAAGAGAGGTGGGGGGGGAGGGAAAAGAAAAGAAAAAAGAAACGAAAGAGAGGACAGTAGTACAAACCTTACCAAAAAAAAAAAGAATTCTAGGAACAATTGTATGCCAGGATTAGGTAACTCAGATGAAAAGGACAGATTTTTAAAACGACAAATCAAATCAAGAAGTAAAAATAGAAAATCTAAACAGATCTGTAATAGAATTAAAAACAACTTGTCACAAAGAAAAGCTGGGACCAAGTGGCTTCATAGGTGAATTCTATGAAAGGCTTAAAGACGAATCTTCCAGTAATCCTTCACAAACTCTCCCAAAAAATAGAAGAGGAACACTTCCCAACTCATTCTCTTAATCCAGCACTATCCTTAGACCAAAGACATCACTAGAAAACACCAGTATCTTTTATGAATACAGAAACAAAAATCCTCAACAAATTACTAGCAAACCAAATCTGACAACATATAAGAGGTTTATACAACATGATAAACTGATATTATGCCAGGAATGCGAAGTTGGTTCAACATGTAAGAAGTAACATGTGGGAGACCGCCAAGCTGTGCTCCCCTGAGAAATAAGCCACTTGTCTGCATCTTTTCCTGACCTTTACTTCAACTCTATTCACTGAGACATGCAGAGCTGACTATATTGAACCAGATTTTCCCTTCATTGGCTAAAAGGCTAGGACATGAGATAACATCTCATTTGAGGCCATGGGACTAAAAAAAAATGATACCTTCCTGTCAGTCAAGGTGTCAGCCTTGCATCCATCAAGCTATCCGTTGTATTGCTAATCGGAGAGCCTTTGTGCCTGGTACAGAATTGCTGTTTCTCATTATAGCCAATGCCTGAAAGTGTCTTTTCCCTAGCACTCTGCCGCAACCCCTACGCTCCTCCCTGACTGATACCAATAAAATGAGCTTTTGGACTCATGGCCTTTTGTTCCACAGAGAACATTGGTCATCCCAGAGCTCCTCAACTGCAGAATATTCTTTGTCTTTATTTTGCATCCATTTGCCATTGCCAAGTGGGAGACCTGAACCCTCCACAGGGGTTTTAGTAGTAATCTATGTAACATACCATATTAATAAGTAAAACAAAAATTGTGTGATTTATTTCAATAAATGCCAAAAAATTTGACAAAATCCAATATCGTATGATAGAAGGGAATTTTCTCAACCTGACTATTGTACTGAATTTTCTCAACCTGACCTAAGTCTTGACTACCTGTGAAAAACCCACAGCTATTGTCATATCTAATAGCAAATAACTGAAAGCTTTCCCCCAAAATCTGCTCTTACCACTTCTATTAAGTCTCATACTGAGGTTCTAGACAGGGTAGGAAAAAAGAAAAGGTACTCAGGTTGAAAAAGAAGAAACAGCAGCCAGGCATGGTGGTGCACGCCTGTAATCCCAGCATGGATTGGGAGGCTGAGGCAGGAGGATTGTTGAGAGTTCAAGGCCAGCCTGAACTGCATAGCGAGACCCTGTCCCCAAAAGACAAAATAATAATAATAATAGTAGTAATAATAATAATAATAAAGTTGGACTTCTACACAGCACATAAAAAAATAAAAAAGTAACTGAAACTGGGGCAAAGACCTAAGCCTTAAACTATGAAAGTCTCAGAAGAAAACACACCCATAAGCTTTCATTACCTTAGACTAGACAACAGGTTTTGGATATAACAATAAAAGCACATGCAAAAAAAGATTAGCAGGGCTGGGGATATAGCTCAGCGGCATAAGCACCTGCCTGGTAAGTGCAAGGTTGTGAGTTCGATCCCCGGTACTGCAAAAAAAAAAAAAAAAAAAGCTAAATTAGACTTCAAAATTAAAAACTTTTGCCAGTTGTGGTGGTGCACACCTGTAATCCCAGCACTTGGGAGGCTGAGACAGGAGGATTGCTGTGAGTTTGAGGCCAGCCTGGGCTACATAATGAGTTCAAGGCCAGCCTGAATTACAGAGTGAGACCCCGTCTCAAGAAATAATAGTAAGTAAAAACTTTTGTACTTCAAGGAGCTCTCTATAGAATAGGAAGAAGAGGTTTTAAACAAAAGGTGATCAAAGAAAATTCAAAAGAAACACAATCAAAGGAAAATACAACAAACACCAAAATCAGCAGTCTTGTGGAGAAGCAAGAAACACAATTGAAGGAAAATACAACAAACACCAAAATCAGCAGTCTTGTGGAGGAGCAATCCCAGCATGGCAAGGCTCTCACCTGCACTGCATCAAGACCAGGCCAGTGTGAGCAACAGATGGTGAGGTGATACACGGCGAGGGGCTGGAGCTCAGTCTGAGGAAAATCAGGGCCTCGAAAGGCAATGAAGTCTCCCTCTTCTGGGCTTAGTGCATGAATAAAAGGGTTTAATGTTCTGTGAAAATAAGACTAAAGTCCTTTTTTACATTGTCAGTCATGTTCTTCTCCTAATGGAGCTTCAGAGTGGTAATATCATCACGTGAACTGACTGTAGCAACACAACTATTAAAAACATATTTAAATGATTATAAATAGTAAAGAATAAGAATAGTAAAGAATAAGAATAAGAATAGTAAAGAATAAATTCTTTAATAGTAAAGAACTTAAATGATTATAAATAGTAAAGAATAAAAATAGTAAAGAATATTTACTTTAAAATAGTAAAGAATAAGTAAAGAATAATAAATAGTAAAGAATAAATAGTAAAGAATAAGAATAATTAGAACAAATCTAATCAAGAAAAAATAAAAAGAAAAGAGCCAGGCATGGTAGCGCATGCCTATAACCCCAGCCCCTGGAGAGGTCGAGGTGGGATGACGAAGTTCAAGGTCTGCCTAGGCAATCGAGCAAGATGTGTCCAAACAAATGTGGTCGTGGGGGATTTCCCTTCCAGTTTTCCAAATCAAAATTTGTTTTTCTTCATTCTTTTATTCTTTCTGTAAACTGGGGGTAAAGGTAGATAGGAAAGATGGGCTATGCTATCTGATTCTTTGCTCTCAACAACTTGATTCAACTTTGAAGCTGTCACCCCATTTCACTAAATCACAAGAACTCGTCCTGCATAACTGATGGCAAAGCTAATTGGAACAGAACTCCTGCTATGACTTTTAGCAATTCTGTTTTCAATAGGCACTTTATATATGAGTGAAGGAAAAAGTAATTAGCAAGTATTTAGAATAAGAGGTATTGATAACTGACATTCATCTATCAAAGATTCAGGTTCGAAGTTTAGTTCTACTGTATAGTCCCAGCAATACGACACTTGAGAAGTCCGCAGTCCTAATTTATTATCTTTGGGGCTGGATATACTTTGGGAAGGCAAGAGCCTGATATACCCTGACAGAAGGCAGAAGGGAAAATTGAGATTGCATTTGCGTGTGAATGTTAAGGGAAGATTACTGTCATGAAAACAGAGGTAGAGGCTGCCAATGGTTTGTCTATCCCCTCCAACAGTTCCTATTACTCTAGAAGGAATACCATACTCCAAGTTTAGAGTTACCATTATCTATTCTGGAATAGATAAAGTGTTCTTAATTAGAAATACTTCAACTAGAAAGATGAATGCTCTTTCAAAGTCAAAAAGTTTAGAAAAAAATTAAGTGGAGTATTAGAAAAATGTTGGAGAAATGAAAGACATCTGAAGAAAAGGTAGCAGCTGTGAGGGAAGCAATTACGGAACGTACACGAATACAGTCAGTTCATCTAAACACTACCTCATCAATCAGTGGCAGCTTTCCTATGCAACTGCGACTTGGTACAAGTAGACCACTATGGAAGAAGAGGAAAGGAACATGCTGGGCCTGGCGGCACACACCGTAATCCTAGCACTCTGGGAGGCTGAGCAAAGAGGATCACAAGTTCAAGCTCAGCCTAGGCAATTTAGCAAGACTCTGCTTCAACATAAAAAGTGTTAAAAAGGCTGGCTGGGAATGTAGCTCAGTGTGAAGGCCCTGGGTTCAATCCCCAGCGCTCCCAAAGAAGAAAGAGGAGGGAGTGGGGGAGGAGAAAGGAGGTGTTAGGGAGAGCAATGGGGGATGGACATGATCAAAATGTTACATGCATGTAAGAAAATGCTACAATAAAACCCAATTTTGTAAAATTAGTATGTACTAGTTTAGGAAATGTGACTTGATTTAATGATGCTGGAGCAGGGTGAACTAAGGATATTACCCTTTCAAAGATTAAAGTTTGTTTTGTTTTGTTTTTGAGACGCAGTCTCGCTGTGTAGTGCTAGCTGGCCTGGATTCACTATGTAGTCCAGGTTGACCTCGAACTCATGGCGGTCCTCCTGCCTCAGCCTCCCAAGTGCTGTGATTTAAAGATCATTAATATGCAAGTCAAGTTCAATGTCAGAGAAAACAATACTAGTAGCAGGAGAATTTCCCATTGACATCGTGTTTTGCTAACTGCAAACTATTTTCATATCCATTGTTCTGCTCTACAAACTACCTCTTTGCCGCCCACCCAGCTTCTCCCAGGTCACACTTGTCAGGACTGTCTCTTGTCCCTAGGTCCCTAACCAAGCTATGTCCCTAACCAAGCTATGTCCCCACAGCCACACACCTGGGTGTACTTGCGGAAAAACACCCCTTGCACCTTCCCAAAAACTTCGTAGTCCACTGATACCAAGGTGTCCCCTTCTGCCATGCTCAAACCTGTCAAAGACCAGGGAAACAAAATTAAAGGGCTACTCCAGAATTCCCAACCCTGGGGCACAGAGAATCCACACCACCTCTCCCCACCCATCGCGGCGCCCGCTCCCCGACCTCCAGGGTCCGGGCTCCGAGAGGGAGCGCTGTGCGCACGCGCAGCGCGCGAGGCGCGAGGCAGACGCCGGCGGAGGGCTCCCCTTTCCTCGCCGCCCGCCTGCCTCACCGTCAGCTGGCCCGCTCCCGCCCATTCATTCCTCTTCCCACTCGGCCGCCAGAACCCCCTTCCGCTAACACTTCAAGGCTAATGAACCTGACCAGCAAGCTTTGGGGGTCTCTCCCATTCACCCTCCTCTTCTTACCCACGGGACGAACCACACAGGAGACCACCAAACCGACCACCTAGCGGCCGCGCAAACTGGCGTTCCCGGAAGTTTAGAGTGCGGCTCCTCCTTCGTAGCCTGACATGCCCATCACCTCTGCTGACCAATCAAAGTTTACGCCTCGGCCGCGAGCCCGCCCAGAGGGTGGGACTGTAGGATGTGATTTGTCCCGCGGAGGGGTAAGCCCGGCGTTGGGGGATCTGTCCACGGTCTGGCTCGGCCTCCGGAGATCAAGCCCACACCCCACCTCAGTTACTAAGCGCACCCCTCTTTGCATTTTCTCCTGGGAAGATGCATGCATTCAATAAATTTATGCATTCAATAAATACCGACTGACAGCCTGCTATACCAGGCACTGTTCTAGGCGGTTAGCACACATCAGTGAACACAACCCTGCCCTAGAGGAGCTTAAATTCTGGAGGTGGGAAACAATGAACATTAACATCAAAAACAAATTAAAGGTCGGGGATATAGCTCAGTGGTAGCGCATTTGCCTACCATGTGCAAGGCCCAGGGTTCAATCCCCAGCACCAACCAGACAGACAAACAAACAAACTGAGTAGGACACATACAACCTCTCTGTCCTTTTTCTTTTAGTTCTCTTCAGGTATTGGATCATGCCTAACCCTAATTTGCTAGCAGGAAGGGTGCTAGCTAGAATCCCAGTGGCAGTTATTTCTCCTGAGCGTCCAGAAGTTGCCCACCAGTTTACCTTATTAAGAAAATGCCAAATAATGCTTAAATCAGGAAAGGAAGGAAGGAGGGAGGGAGGGAGGAAGGCAGGGAGGGAAGAAATGAAAGAGAGAGGAAGGAAGGAAAGAAGGGAGGAAGGAAGGAAGGAAGGAAGGAAGGAAGGAAGGAAGGAAGGAAGGAAGGAAGAGAAATAAAGAAAGGAAGGAGGGAAGGAGGAAAGGAGGGAAGGAGGGAGAGAGCGAGGGAGGAAGGAAGGAAGAAAGGGGCAAAAACACAAGCAAATAACTCACGGCTCCAAAATTTCAACTGACTCAATCAATCTAAGCCAAAAGGAAACTATCGAAGGGTGTTTGTGAACGAGGACTGTGAAAATTAGAGTTCATTTGTAGATATTTGTTTGGTTTTTTGGGGGGTGGTTTCCGGTACCGGGAATCGAACTCACGACCTTGTGCTTGCCAGGCAGGCGCTTTGCCACTGAGTTAAGTGCCCAGCTGCTCATTTGTAGATATTTGAAATCTTGAACTCGTACAAGTAAGAATGTGTGCGAAGGAAAGCTCATGCTTCTTGTTCCTCTTTGAATTTTTTTTTTTTTTTTTTTTTCCCACTGGGAATTGCACTCAGGACCTTGTGCTTGCCAGGCAGGTGCTGGTGCCACTGAGCTATATCCCCGGCCCTAAATCTCTTGTATACATTACATTCCTTCATCAAACTTCAAATGTGAATATGCCAGTTAGTCAAGTGAGATGGTTGTGCAGTGGTAGCCATGGAAATTACATCGTTCCTCTAGTTCTCCAGAACAGAGTAAGGATCCAGATCAGAGAAAGGCATAAATCTGCAGGGAGTGGGGGGAACTAGATTGAATGCTGTACTTGGAAACAACACTGAACAATATACTTAATTAATGGCATTTCTTTCTCTAAGTTTGTTTTAGAAAACTGGTTTCTCTAGAGAATTGAAAATATATTGAATATATGAATGTATGGGACACCATATGGTATATAAAGATGAATGACATAATCTTTGCTCTCAATGGGGTTTTAACTTAGTGTAAGGGGTAAAAATGCACATACAGATGACAGTGAAGAGCACTACATGGTAACTAGATTCCACAAATATCCACTGAGAACTCATCATCGACCAGTCCTGCACTACAGCAAGGACCAAAAATACTATGAAGGAGCAAAGAGATGATTTCTGATTGGGAATACTGGGAAAGGGCTCTTGGAGGAGACAGTTTTCCAGGGTCACACAAGCACAACCCATTAAGTCATGGAGTTGGGACTTAGTTCCAGCAGTCAATCCAGAGTCCACTCCTATAAATGCAATGCTCTACCACTTCCCAGGATGTGGAGTTTGGCATGAGGCAGTATCCCCGACACGAGAAAGTAAAAGTAGTCAGTTGTGGTAGACCAGAGGCTCTCAGTCCCGGCTGCATATTAGGTCCTTTGGGGATGCTTCTAAAAATATCAGTGCCCCAGACCTCAGACCCACAATATTGCTTTCCAAGTAGTTTTCATGAATAGCTAAGGCTGAGAGCCCCTGGGCTAGCTTAAGGGGAGGCAGGGCTGGAAAGAAAGACTGGAATTATTCTGAGAGGTAAAAGTGCAGCGCAGAATTATGTATTTTAACTTTAAATTCTGCAGGTAAAGATGAAGCCACTGGGAGAGGGAAATGATAGGACCAAAAGTCTGTAGTAATCAGCCAGATTTAGCTGTTTCACAATGTATACATATACCAAAACATTACATTGTACACTGTAAATATGTACACTTTTGTCGACTATGTCTTCAGAAAGCTGGGAAAGGACATAGGCTCGTTATTCTGGCAGCATAAAGATGGGATTGGGGAGATGCTGAGGTCAAGTGTAAGAGGAGGGTGACACCATCCAAAGAGAAGTTAGGAAAAGTTCCCCTAGAGCAGCAGAACTGTAAAGGAGGGTCATACACGGGAAATATGAGGATAAGAAAAAGCAGAAATTGCAGTTAAAAGGAAGAGGGGGCAAAGAGGCAGGAATGGAAGAGGACTGATGCTTTGTGCATGCTTTGAGCTGGAGAAGCTGCAAACGGGAATGGGGAGGTGATTGGAAGTCTGTGTTGGTTTTTTTTTTTTTTTAAGAGTCTGTGTTGTCACATTGACTTTAAGGTTCCTGAGGGACAGTCATGTGCTAGTGCTGAATGGGCTGGTGGAAAACTGAAGCAAAAGAGTGAGACTACAACTAAGTTGGATATGACTTAATCCTGAGTGAATGCTGAA